AGCTGAGTCGAGGGTTTCAATCCATCGGTGAACCATGTCGGAGGAACCCCCTCGGCGATCGTGAGAAACGAGACGTGGCCGATCCGCGCTGATGTCATACTGTATGATGTAGTGGTAGCCAGAAAAGTCGATCGGCTAACGACATATTCGGCGTAGGCTGTGTAGTCGATCGGCAGAGCCGCCAACTCCAGCATAGGATACATGTGTGTATGTGTTTGTTCCGAAAGCCCGAGACATCGAACCGGCTTCTGTCTTGGAGCTGTTTCGCGCTGTATGTCGAAAAGCTTGTTCACCACCGAACAGCCCGATATCGTAACGAAACTATCGCTTGACTGTTTTGATTTATATTGCTGGTTCGGCCTCAGGCTGGCCACCGATCCAGAAATGCCTTCTTGGGCTGGCCGAAATTTTCCGTGAAGCCGAGGACTGAACGAATTGCGGATTCAGAGATCTCAGCCATGGATAGAACTGCAATTCCTGCGTTGTAGAGAGATTTGTGCACCCGTGAGACGATACTTACCAATATGGTGCCAGTGTGGTAGAGCGCGCTGTATCCGCCAACCATCTCACCATGCCGTCCTTGACCGGCGCAGTTGTCTATGGCCCCAGTAATTGCCCAGTCTTTGTATCATTGGAAAAGCGAAAGCCTAAAGAGAGCACATGCCTGTTTCCTGGGATGCTCAGGATTTGGTACCGGCACTCGGCCGAGACGGCAATCTTTGGCGATCCAATGGCTATGACGGATGAAGCTGACAACAATTGTGCCAACAGCTTCTTGGCGCTCTATGAGGCATTAGCTGTGCTCTAATCTGTTCGGATATGATATTTTGTCGGGCTCACATAGACAAGCAGTAGCCAAACTGAAGCGGTGTCGATAATCTTGACAATCGGCAAATCGTGCCACCTTTGGTGGCGAAGAGCGTAGTGACCCGAGAAATCAGGTTGCCGGCTCTCTCTGTGTCTTTTCCCACTGCACCGAATTGACGATGAGCATTGGTGCAAGGGAGAGAAAACACCCATGCTCACGGTAACGTCGTCTTAAGGTTTGGCTGAAAAAGGAAGAAATCCGAAATCAGATGTTCCCCGGACTTTCCAATGTGGGATGACCCAAATTAAAAAAAAGAAGAAAAAAAAATAGATTGAATGGGACTTGCTTCCAGAACATGATAAGATGTGGTTCGGGACGTAGCCCGACTGGTCCGGCAGATCCCGTCGCAGAATCCCCTGCTTCGCATCTTGACACGTGACGACATATCGACACGGAGCTCGGAGCTCAGACACGCAGTCCAGTTTCGGGAATCTGACACATGCAGCAAACCGTCCGATGACCAGCAAAACACTGCACTACGACGACTTGCCCTTCCAGCTTAACGTGGTCACTATGAACGGGACATCGATTGGCGGGAAAGCTTCCCTCGATGCTGGTACATTACCCTGTCCCGCCCCGCGCAGCTCATATCTGACTTGAGGCAGCCGACTACGATCCCATCGACCACCTCAATCAACTCTTTCCGCACCCGTCGACCGTCAACTCGGTTAGCCGTGTCTCCGATACTCTTCAAAAACACAAAAATGACCTCTCCGTCGAGATATCCGAACTCGAGGTCGCCCAGGCCTACGGGCCCGACTCGAGCCTCGAGCGCATGCAGTCCGCCCAAGCCGAACTAGCCCAGCTCTTCCGCAAGATCGAGACGGTCCGATCTCGGGCGATCCAGACCGAGCAGAACATCACCTCGATGACGGCCGATATCAAGCGACTCGATGGCACCAAGCGAAACTTGACGCTGAGCATGACGGCGCTCAAACGACTACAAATGCTGACGACGGCATACGAGCAGCTGAGAGGCCTGGCCAGGACGAGGCAATACAGGGACTGTGCAAGTCTACTACAAGCTGTGCTGCAGCTCATGAAGCACTTCAACAGCTACAGAAGCATCGACCAGATTGCCACTCTGAGCAGGGGGGTTTCGGAGCTGCAGCGAGAATTGTTGGAGCAGGTCTGCGAGGACTTCGAGATCGCTTTCGCCAAGGGAGAGGTCGCCCAGCGCAGAGGCATCCTCGTCGAGGCCTGTCTCGTCATGGATGCCCTCGGTGATATGGCACGGACACGGTTGATGAACTGGTACGTGAACACCGAGCTCCGCGAATACCGTTCGGTCTTCAGGGGCAACGACGAGGCTGGGAACCTGGACAACATCGGCCGCAGGTATGCGTGGTTCAAGCGCATGCTCAAGACCCACGAAGACGAACACGCCGCCATTTTCCCGCCCCATTGGCGCGCCAATGAGCTGCTGGCGATGGCTTTCTGTGATGGCACCAGGGACGACTTCAAGGGCATCCTCGAGAGGAGCATGCGGAGGACCGATGGGCAAAAGATTGACGTCAATCTCCTGCTGAGCTGCTTGCAGGAAACCTTGGACTTTGAGCACGGTCTCGAGAGGCGTTTTGCCAACGAGCCCCGGGCTAGCATCGACACTTTGAGCTCATCCGACGACAGGGCATCGAACTTCCACGGCTCCATATCCACCGCGTTCGAGCCTTACTTGAGCCTGTGGGTCGAGTCACAAGACAAGCAGCTCGCCAGCATGATACCAAAATACCGCAATCAGCCCTTGCTTCCGGAAGACGAGGAATTCTCGTCGCAGGCCGTCATTTCATCTGCCATTGAGCTCTTCCACTTCTACAAAGTCACCCTGTCACAATGCGCAAAGCTGTCCACCAGCGACCGGTTACTGGACCTTTCCAAGATCCTGATGAAGTATCTGGACGAGTACGCGCAGCAAGTTCTCCTACATATTCTTCAAAGGGCAGGGCCTCAAGGGCCGCCAATACAGGATGTCATCTTGGTCCTGAACACGGCCGACTTCTGGTCGACAAACACCACACAGTTGGAAGAGAACGTCAAGAAGCGCATCGACAACGAGCTCGCCGGCAAGATCGATCTGTCATCCCAAGCCGATGCATTCCTCGGTGTGGCTAGCGCCGCTGTTTTGACTCTAGTGCGCAACGTCGAGATTGCGTGCGAAGGCTCGTGGCGCGAAATGCGGAACACGGGCTGGAGCACAATGGAGAGCGTGGGCGACCAGAGCTCTTACGTCGGCGAGCTGCTGTCCTCGGTGAACAGCAGGACCGAGGAGATACTAGGCCTCGTCGTGAAGCAGCAATATGCCAGAGCATTCTGCGACAACCTCGTGGACCATCTTGTCAACGCATACATCAGCAACATCGTCCAGTGCCGTCCCGTGTCCGAGGTTGGCGCTGAACAGGTAGGCCTCCGTCCGTCGGATCGCATTTGGCAACCGCTGACCATTCTCAGATGCTGCTCGATAAGTATGTGTTGACAAAAGCGTTCGAGAACCTCTTATCGTACCACAACAAGTCGTCCACGACGACGCATACAGCACCGGCAGGTTATGTCAGGAGGGTGAACCAGACAATGAACCGTATAGACCCTCTCCTAAAGACGCTGCAAGTCCGCCCCTCGCCACCCGAGGGTCTCGTGCAAGCTTACCTCATCCATATCGGCGACCGCTCCGACACCAACTTCAGAAAGATCCTCGACCTCAAGGGCGTCCGCAAGGGCGACCAAGGCCACCTGGTCGAGCTCTTTGGCATCCACCGCGAGGGCAGCATGAGCGACAAGCTCGTGCACCAGTCCCCGCTGCTGACGCCGCTCATGGCAACGACGGGGCTCGGCAGCTCCAGCCTGGGCGCCATCAACCCCAGCACCGCCCTCACGAGCGCCAGCAGCGCCATGCCCGGGCTGCCGAGCAAGTTCGACGCGACGTCGCTGGGCGAGAAGCTGCTCAGCGCGGCCAGGGACCTGGGGCAGGGGGCGGGGCCCGGCGGCATCGCGGGCGCGGAGAAGGCGACCATGAACGAGAACCTGAAGAACTTTGGCAAGTTCTTCCGGAGGGATCTCGGAGGCTTCGGGGCGAGGTTTGGGAAGAGGGACGAGAGCGCCGACGGGAACCGGTGATCTGAAGAAGGGTTATCTTCCCCTCCCTCCTCCAGCCATCAAGGCACTCAGAATCGAGTTCGCTTAAGATGAATAGACTTGAATGACTTGTTCCCTCCCCCGCACTTGATCATGACTTTAGTAATGGGCGAAAGTCAGCTATGTTGGGTACTCTTCCAAATGAGTGGGTTTGAGCGGGTATCGTGACGGGTTCCCAATGCTGCTTCGGTTGTAGTCTGGTGGTGGGGGTGTTTTTGGTTTAAAGGGGGGGGGGGGGGGGCGAGCCGCCCTCTCCGTTTTCTTGCTCGGGGCTCACGTGGACGTCGGGGGGAGGGGGCTTTCTTCCCGTTTTACCGCAACAGTCTGAAGAGGATGGGATCATTCGAGCAACAGCAGTTCGGGCAGTTCAAGCAGCAGCGGCAGGAGATGCACCTTTGATGAGCCACAAAGCCACAGGTTTTCATGAAAGCTAGAGCGAGATCCGGGAACACACGATTGCTGTAAGTCGAGAGCGTACACAGTTACCGCGGTGTTGGCCGAGGTTTCAGACCGACGGACCATAAATTACTCCTTAGGCCAATTGCTCGAGAAAAAAAAGATGAAGCTAGACGGAGAAATATCGCGGAATACTCAGGAGGCATGTTCATATGCAGTGCAACCTGTTTGACGCAACCGCGACATGGCACTGCATTACTATCATAATCATGCTATTCTAACGGGTCGCGGGCCCCTTTCCTTTCGAGTGGAGTCATCAATCATGTACTTTTCGCGGCACTAATCATGCCGTTTACAAACTGACCAGAGTGGCGTCTTCCCCTCCGAGGTACATCTTGCCCTCGGTGTAGTCGGCACGACCGGATGGCTCATCATCCTACAAATCGTTCGAAACCCGGCCGCCTCCGTTGCCACTGTCTCCGTCCGTGTGTTGTAGACACTCCCGCGTCGTGGGGGGAGTCTCATCGGACTCTTCGTTGATAAATGCCGTCGTTGTCAGACGGCAGGGGAGATTACCTCCGAGGTCCTTGGCTTGGGGTGCCGCCTTCTAAGATGACTTCCACACGTTTCTGTCCAGCTTCTCGTCTGGCACCGCAATGAAGTCCTGGCCATCCCCGCTCTCACTGCCGTCGAGCGAGCCGTCGTAGGAACTGGTCTGCCATGCCGACAACTCGTCAACGCGACGAATGCCCATCATCCATGAGACTAGACCGCGCGGCACCCATCGGCCAACGAAACCGTACACGCTGGCGCCGAGGCCGACACGGACGGTGCCACTGGTGATGGAGCCGTCAATGACGTCAAAGACAGCGCTGTGAAGATGACGAAGGGAGCTTCCCTTTAGACCACGGATGCGGCCAGCCGAGATGGCCGAAGTGCTCTGCATGACAAAGTTGCGTCCGTAGGCGTGACGGGCGTTTTCGGGCCACATGAGAGTCTCGGTGGCGTCGGCATCAATGCCGGGACCGCCTTCGAGGAGGCCTCTTTGCGAAGGGTGGCTGTTTTTCGCAGGCTGGAAGCCGGTGAAGTCAAACGTACCCAGCTGCATGTGGGTCACTGGGATGCCCAGAGGTCGCAATTCTGCCGTCAAGACTTCGGTGAAGGCCGACAGGGCGGACGAGACGGTAGCCTCGGGAGCGTGGAAGGGGGGGTTGATGGAGGAGATGATGGACGGCGTGAAGACGAGCACCTTTGGCGGTGTCCACTTTTCTCCGGGCGGGCTCAAACGGGTGGTCAAGAGCGGCAGGAATGCCTGAATGGTAAGGATGGGGTGGAGAAGGTGGGTGTTGAAGAGGTCTGCAAAGCTGGAAGGCGGGATGGTAGCGATGGGTGACGTCTGGTAGTTGAGCGAGGGGATGAGAATGACGGATTTCAGCTGCAGATGGTTTGGTCTTGTACGAGGTGCCGGGGCGTGGGGTGACTGGAGGTACTGGGCGAAACTGTCGATGGCCGCGCCAGCTCTGGGGGGCTGCGTGATGATATGTCAGTAAGAGGCGATACCCTCAGTAGGGTATCTGTACAACTCACGTCCGTAGTGTCAATGTTCAGAGGCAGGATATCCGGTCTGGCCAAACTGTGCACCATGCTCTCGTCTTCTTGGGCGTTACAGACGATGTAAACGATAAATCCCCTCCTTTCAAAGTCCAGAGACAGTGACCTCGTCAAAGGCAGAGCGGGCGATCCAGCAATAACGACAACCTCGAGGCGTCCGCCGTTCCTAGCCCGTTTCGCGCGGCGAGTCTTCTTGCAAAACCTGCTGCTCCGGTAGGATCGGTAGGCGACGACTCCAACGACGGCGACGATGACACCGGTCAGGATCTTGTTCTCCTTCACCCAGCCGTGGACCCTCTCGAAGCGGCCCATGGCTATCACCTCGATGGGGACATGGCGGACTGGAGGCTTTGGCCGCACCGAGTCGGGCAGCCATTCTGTGGACGCAAGGGTCTCCCGCAGCGCTTGCGCTGCCTTATCTACGTGCGGGTTGACGAGGTTCGCGATGTCGTCTGAGTACCGGCGGATCTGGTTGGGCAGCGAGGACAGCTATGGAAGGTGGTAGTGTCAGTAAGAGCCCTCGTGATCACAAGCTGCAAACGGATAGGAGGAGGCGCCTACGACGTCCAGGAACTGCTGGTCGTCCGCTGACATGGTTGCGGTATTGCACAAGCAGGTATTATGTAGAGAATAACTGTTGTGTGAGGAGACGTTGAGGTAGCTCGAGGCAAGGTCAGGTAGGTAAAGGTCGGTCTACGTTGACAGGTCGGTGAGTGGACTTGCGGCCCGGCAGGAAAAATAGGGCAGCGGCAAACCAGGTTCGCCCTTTCCCTTTTCCGCCAAACATATGTGGGGAAATCCTCCGCCGTGTGGGGCGAGTTTCACTGGCCGCCGGTGTACCGAAACCTCGCGGCCCCACCCGGGGCCAAGTAGTGATTGGTCGACGTCATCACCCCGCCCACCTAACTTTGTTTTGTTTCTGCCGGCAACAATGTCACTATTACCTCCATTGTAGTCGATATGCTCAGTCGCCAAAAACCTTCCTTTGCGCCCTTGTTCTGCTCTCATGAAGCCGGTGACAATCGTGGAGATGATGCAAGCAGGTTCCCAGTTGTCCGGGGTCTTGCTAACGAGGAGGAAGTGACGATTAAGGTTACAAGACCGTTGGATCATAGACGACTTGAGTTATCAAAGATGGGGATCTCGTCCGTGTTTCCTTAGTTTCTTGACTTACAACCCTAACATCTCACGGTGTCCGCATCGCTAGCATCAGCGTACGTGCTTGTCACATACCAGAAGTTCACCCCTAGAAGAGTAGTGCGCAACGGAATCAGCATGGAGCAAGCCTAACAGTGACAGACATGAGCCAGTTGCTCTGGTATGAAGGGTAACACAGTCAGTCACTCTCCCAGCGAAGCAAAAGGTTGCGGATAAGCTTGCAAGAACAGAACAGAGCAGCGGCGGCCCTAACATCAGTTGCTTGCAAGGATTCTATAATTGAAAGTCTCCATCTATCAGGAACGAAGTCAAGCTCTGATTTGTATCCTGGTATCAGAGACAGGTACCTAAGACTCCGGCGTAAGAGTTGGTCTGGAACAGGTCACTGGTGCGATGTTGCTACCGATCATCAGATCTCTTCTTGATGGGCTTTGACCGCAAGACATTACCGGCAATCACCGGCAGCTCTCCACGGAGAGGAAGAAACAAGGCCGCTTTAGAAACAAGCGAGCTACCGGTCTTATCGGCCCAATTCACGCTGCCGGGCATCGTCGAATCAACATCGCAGCCAAGCTGGTTTGATACCAACGGTTTTCAATCCACCGAGACGTGCTGCATACAGGCAACAATGCATATGTCGGGGTACGACACCTAAACAGGGTATCGCTTACCGATGGAGTGAACCCATCCCGCCAGACAGGGGTCCTTACGATACTCGGCGCTTATGCGACCTGCATGCAGCCCTTCAGTCAAACGGGATGTTCTCGCCACTCACTTCTGTCAAGCGCCGCATATATGTTGGACGTTGTTGTTTTGTTTGACGCCGGTGCTGTCCCTGAGTATACATGTTGGGCGTTGTTGTTTCATTTAACGCCGGTGTTATCCCTGAGTATATATGTTGGACGTGGCAGCCGGATCTGCGCACTTTGCATCTTTTACAAGACTTCAAGCTACACAGTTACCACGGTAACATCTCTACGATCCCACTCTTGCGTCGCAAACATGTCTGATCCTCGTAATTACACCATCGGCTGGATCTGTGCCATCCCCACGGATTTTGCTGCTGCCCGTGCTTTTCTCGACGAACAACATCCCGAACCCGGAGCGATCGCGCATAATGATAACAACACTTATGCTCTCGGTGCAATGGGCAAGCACAACGTTGTAATCGCCGTCATGCCTAACACGGAGTGTAGACTAGCAGCAGCCGCTGTAGTGGCCAGACACATGGTCCACAGCTTCCCGAACGTCCGTATCGGCTTGATGGTCGGTGTCGCTGGTGGCGCTCCCAGCCAAAAACACGATATTCGCCTGGGTGATGTTGTTGTCGGCAGTTGCAGGTCTGGAAATGGCGGCGTCATACAATATGACTACGGAAAATTAAAGCAAAACCGAGGGTTTGTGGAAACCGGTTTTTTAAACCAGCCACCGCCAGTATTGTTGAACGCAGTCGCCAGACTTGAGACGGACCACATGATGGAGGGCCCTGGACTCAATGTCAAGGTGGAAAGGGCCTTGGGTCGATGGGAGCAACTACGAAAGACACACTCTCGCCCATCTGCGATCACAGACCAACTCTACAAGTCCGACTTTGTACACCCGGACTCATCCGCAGCTTGCTCCCAAGAGTGTTCTGCCATCGTCTCCAACATGGTCTCTCGACGCGAGCGGGGCAAAGACGAACACAACCCCGCCATACATTACGGAACGATTGCTTCTGCAAACCAGCCGATGAAAGATGCCCGGACACGGGACAGGCTTTCGAGGGAACGGGGCGTCTTATGCTTTGAGACGGAAGCCGCTGGGCTGATGAACCACTTCCCCTGTCTTGTTGTGCGGGGTATATGTGACTATTCTGACTCCCATACGAACAAGAAGTGGCAGGGTTTTGCAGCCATGGCAGCTGCAGCGTATGCAAAGGATCTACTTCGCCTAATCCATCCTAGTAATCTTCAAGCCGAAAAGAAGATGAAAGAAACCCTAGAACATAGTACGTATCTAACGTCTTTACTTTGGCATAACTATCTTTAACGATGATAAGTGAATGGATCATTGTCTTCCATCAAGTCAACTTTACTCGAAATCGAAACTCAAATGGATACTATGAGTTCCAACAGCCACATCCAGAAACTCAGACAGTGGCTTTCGCCCCCTGACACATCCAGTAATTACAACATCGCAAGAGAAAGCCGACACGATGGAACCGGGTTATGGTTTCTTGAGAGTGCTGCGTTTAGAGAATGGGTGCATGGATCTCGTAAGCACCTGTGGCTCCATGGGATACCTGGCAGCGGCAAAACCGTCCTCGTCACCACTGTCCTTGATCGTTTGGCTCTGATGGATGACCTGGTTACGCTCCAATTTTTCTTCGACTTTAGCGACGCAAGCAAACAGAAGCCGGAAGACATGTACCGGTCACTCGCCTTCCAGTTCTACACCAAGCGCATCGAATCAAGAAAGGAGCTCGATAGTCTAATGGCGTCTCATGCCGATGGTCGAAGACAACCGGCGGCGCAGGCCCTTTTCCAATGCCTTCAGGCGATGATGCAGGCTAAAGGTAGACTTTGCATCGTGCTCGATGCTCTAGACGAGTGTACCAAGAGATCCGACTTACTCAGGTGGATCCAAAGCGTCATTTCCAGCCCCAGTCATCCCCATGTCCAGCTTATTGCTACGGGTCGGCCAGAAAAAGAATTTATGCGCGACTTTCGCAGTTGGATTGGCGAGAGTTGTGTCCCACTTGATGTCAAGTCTACACGCATGGATATACAGTCCTACATCAGTAACAGACTCACAACAAGCAAAGAGTTCAGCAAGTGGGCATCAACGCCGTATATACTGCAACATATTCAGAAGGAATTAGAAGTCAAAGCACAAGGGATGTAAGTTTCGACAGCATGGTTCCGAGCAGCAAGCGATGTGACATCATGATTCTAAAACCAATTCCAGGTTCAGGTGGGCGGCATGCCAGCTAGACAGGCTGGAGACATGTCCTGACCGGGGACAGCTCGAAGCCGCCATGGAATCTCTACCGTCAGATTTGAATGCGACCTACGCCCGTATTCTCCAGAGCATCCCGCAGAGACGGCGGAAGAAGACAGTTCGACTACTGCAATTTCTCGTTTACTCCGAGCGGCCTCTGACTCTTCGAGAGTGCGTAGATTTGATGGCTATTCGCGTCGACGGGAGACGATCCTTCGATCCAGGAGACCGAATGCCTGACCCTATGGACATTACCAGATTTTGCCCAAGCATGGTTGTTCTAACAGAGACTCCGGACGCTGCTTGGGGAGACTACTTGGTACAACTGGCTCATTTCACAGTCCAGCAATACCTGTTACATCACTACGTCGAAGGGTTCCGGGGGGCCGAACCCAGAATCAGCATTACAGAGACATGCCTGTTCTATCTCGCAAGCGTAGAAGAGATGGAGGTGGCCGAAATGAGAAGGCTGTTTCCTCTGGCGACATATGCGGCAAACAACTGGATGAACCATGCTAGGTTGGCCGAAAGCTCAAACGGCACGGCAGCAGCAATCGCGAGCTTCCTGCAAAGCGGAAAACGACGACGGGTATGGCTTCAGCTATGTCATAGTAGTCGGCGAGACTTTGATCCGAGATCCGCCATCGCGCCTGGGTTGTACTACGCGTGTCTCATGGGGCTCACGGCAACCGTAAGAATCCTGCTGTCAGACCGGCCAAACGTCAATGCCACGAGCGACGTGAGGTACTGCACTGCCTTGCAAGCCGCTTCAATAGGGGGTCACCGAGAGATTGTTCAATTGCTCCTCGATGCAGGAGCAAACGTTGACGCCATAGGTGGCGAATGCAACACTGCTCTCCAAGCCGCTTCAATAGGGGGCCACCGAGAGATTGTTCAGTTGCTCCTCAACGCAGGAGCAAATGTTAGTGCTAAGCTTGGTAGTACTGCTCTTCAAGCTGCTTCAGCAAACGGCAACAGGGGTCGTTCAAATGTTTCCCAACACAGGAGCAGAAATGCATAATATAGAATAATAGAGGGTAGCGCTCTTTGTGCAGCCTCGTCGAATGGCCACCAAGAGGTTGTTCAGATGCTTCTCGGCGACGGATCAAGCGTCAACGGTATAGCTGGCACATACAGCACTGCTCCCAAAGCTGCTTCATCTGCAGGCCACCAAGAAGCCGTTCAGATGTTGCTCACATGTAGCTGTCCGAGGCAGTCATCGTATGAGGTAACGGTGGGGCATCAAGAGGACAATTGCGAATACCATTCGAATCTGCCACGTCTCTCCCAACTGGTCTCCCTAAAGCACCGTCTGGGAGACTTCGGACTAGATACCGTTTCGTCCGGGTGGCTCCCGCTGCCACGACGCCGACACCTCCGCCAGGATTCCGTTATAGGCCTTGACATTAGCAACCGAGAAAGCTTCGACGCTAGAGATGGCGAATAGTGTCGAGGGTCACGATGTAATCTCTAGTATCCTTTTGAATCGGTTCTCAGTGGATCTAGACAATAAGGACCACTCTGGATCAACCCCTTTGTCTATAGCGGCTAGCAAGACCACATTGAAGCAGGTCTGACGTTTAATGATGCCGTGGGCTCCCCAGTGAGCCCTAGACTTTCCTCAAACCCGGAGATGGTTCCGTGTTGCAACTCTATTAGAGCTGTATTGCAAGTATCCGTGATAGGCAACTGGGAAGCAACGGTAGATGAAGGCGTTGGAGACGGCGATCCCTGGAGACTGAGGCACACATTGGCGACGCCGAGGCGTAGGAGACACCGGGAGGAGTAGGCAGACGAGGCCAGAGGCATTGAACAGACAACTGACGTCAACGGATCGCTCTCTGCGCAGCAATTTCCAGTTCGAATTGATTCAGGGTTTGGCCTGTCGGCAGACAGTCCATCGAATCGGCTTCCATGCTGCCCATCACGGATAACTACAGCCTGTCGAAGCCCATCAGCCTATAGACCCATTTTCCGGCACAACCGTGATCGGCCGTCCCGGGTTTATTACAATCGTGTACGTGGCAGCCGACGAGGCTGGAAGAGAGAGACCCAAGACGGCCGACAACTCGACTCCGACTGGGCTTTTCGCGACAAGTACCGTTCAGCGTCAACCAGCCGGCAACTCTTTGCGGCTGAACTTGCCTGTCCAGCCTTGATCATATACGCACATCCGTACATGGCCATCCCGAACCACCATCTCCGCAGTATAGACTTCTCACAAACCGCTTTGCCAACGACGTTAACCAACCCCCCCCCCCCCCCCCTTTTATCCGCCACCGCGTCCTCTCGACACGTCGACCAATACTTTGCATCTTCATCCGCCCAACAACCAATAACGAGACCTCTTTCCATCAATGCGTTCGATACTTCCAGAACATGTACACGCATCCCCCTCGCCTCTTCGCGGCACACACGCCATATACGGGCTATAGCATGACTCCGGACCTAATAAGATCAGGCGAACGATCAACACAACCCGTACGCGTCCACCTCGTCCCATCTCCCGCGCCGTCGACGATAACAACAAACCGCAGCGTCCATCCCCGTCACCGTTCGGGCCAGGGCGAACGCCAACGCCAACACACACACACACACGGTCCATGCCTGCCAGCCTCCGGAGCAGGGTGAACCCCTGGACCGCACATACCCGGCGGCAGATGCATAGCGGGAAGCCTTTAATGAGCCGCCTTTGCAGTAATCATCATCTACACACTAGGAACACACGAGTCCCAGTAAACCTTTCAATGCTCGACAAATCGACAAATAAGGACACTCCCCCTTCCTCGACACCGACACTTGCCTTCCCTTCTCCACGCCCGGCCAGAGTACCGGACGGGGGAGGGGGGGGGGGGAGCCGAACCAGCCGCATGACAGTCGTCAATGCACGATCTGCCCCCCGCCCCAAGTCGAGGAGGGACCAATGGTCGAAGAGAGAAGCATCAAGCATAACCCGGATCGCCGAACCGCTCATCTTGAATAAGGAAAAAAAAAAAAAATAGGTCTGAGCCTTTGATGAAGCAGGCCCATTCGTATACCCAATCCACGGCACAATCAGCCCCCCATCCCCCCCCCTTTCATGCTCTCAACCTCCCGCAGCCCCCCCTTTCCCAGCCCGTGAACGGCATCGGGCGACATGCGGTGAGCTTTCTCTGTAGTGGTGGGTCTACCGGAAAACCCTCCCACCTGGCTCCAGGACCCGAATTCCTTCTTGAGCCCAACTCGCCCAGAGCCGTTACATCAGAGAGAAGACCGTTACAGCACAGGACGGAGAGGGCAGAGAGAGAGAAATGTCTACACTTTCCCAACCTCCCCCCCCCCGGTCATTCTATATCTGCCCCAAATCTCAATGTACCCCCGTACCGTTCCATCCGGACCCGAAAGCGGACTAGCCCCCATCCATGATGCCACCCCACACACACGACATCACCTTTACTACTACGACCCCCCCACATCGGGGTCACTCTGTCTCAAGCTCAGATCAACTGTATCCAACGGTGGGGGGGAAAAAACCGCCTTCGCGGAAGTTGCATTGAACTCCAGAATTTCACATCAGATATATGTATACAAAAGGAACGGAGAAAAGTGATAGGTGATGACGATGATGATGACAAGAATACACAGGGAGTAAGTAAAATACAACTTCCTCCTCCAATGAACTGCCAATCCCCCCTTATCGCATTACTGTGGCTGCTGCTTGCTGCTGTTCCGTCCCGTCACGTGTTGCTCGCTAATGCATCATCTTTGATTAGCAACAACTGCCTTTCCAGGGGGGGAGAGGGAGGCCAGGCAAGGGAAAGGGGAGATGGCTTTGCGTCTCGTGTTTGCTGTGTGGGTGCAAACATAATCATCTCAGACCTCACTAAAAGCAATTCACCATTCACGCGACATCAATCACCCTAGACACACACATAGGGGGGACACATCACGCATATTCATCACCATACGAGGGGCAAGGTTTGTCAGAATGTTGAAAAGTGCAGAGAGTTTTTTCTCTTCTTGTGCCTTTGTACTACCTTACACAAAGAGGGAGCACAAATGCGGGTGTACGAAAAGTCTCGCTGGCTCTCTCACCCCGGCTGGGGGGTATCAGACGACCTGAACCACAGGCCATCCCCTTTTACACATCTCTGTGCCCATCCAGAAGTTTCCTTCCGGCCAATGATTGAGTACGAGAGAGCAAAAAAGAAATCCAGCCGTCTCTCCAAAAATAACACTTTGGCCCAAACCATCACCAACCCTTGACACCCTTCACCCTTGTCCATTGTTGGGCCCATTAGGGGATATCCGGCCTTCCAACGACACTAGGAAGAAGGGGGGAGAGATCTGGTCCGTCCACCAAATCCCGGATAGGGAACAACCTCGAGGTGCTGGAAACAAAGAAAGACCGAACAGTCTGGGGGTCTTCTTGTGTGCGCAGAGGCCACATGTATATCCCTTCCTTGGACCGACCAGAGGACCCTCTCTCTTTTTCGTATGATTGAAATTCGTCCGAGCCTGGCCCATTCCGTCAAACGAAGAACCTATTCCGCTTTCTTTGTTGCTCCTCGAGGTTTCCCATCCGGTCAGGTCTCGTCTCGAGACCCTACAATCTGACCCACGCTGGTAGTCGGGTGCAGTCGCAATCGTCAAGTCGGGTCGAGGTGTCGATATCTCGTCTCCAGGATCCGTCTTCCGATGCCACAAAGATCGACCGCGATGTTTCCAAATTCACACCCTTCCTGGGGCGACCTTCTCGCGAACGTAAAACTCTTTCGATGGGGGGTGTTGCTGGTTAAAAAAAAAAAAGTAAAAGCCGCTGGATGCTGTTCGAAAAAGAAAAGAAGAAAAAAAACGACCATTTGGGGTAAGGGGGGTTTTTGGGTATGATCCGTATTCCTTTTTTTGGGACACTTCTGCTGAGTGAAAAATAGACTGTGTTGCATTAAAAATCAAATCGCTCAATGCCGTGGACGTGTTGATAAGAAAAAAAAAACCATTCTGTATGCATGCGGCAAACAATCTTCTTTTTTTTCCTCTTTTCTCTTCCGCTTCCTGGGGGTTGCTCAACTGCCTTGCCCACTGGGGTATTGAGTGAAAGGCGTCGATTGTCCGTACCGCTGCGGTTACTCCGCAGGCGGGCCGACCCTGGTATCGACTCGGGTGGTCCTAGTTAGGCCAGGTGTTGTTGGCCTGTCGTGTGTTGGTGTACAAACGGGGCGTACTGTTGCTGCACTTGTTGCTGCACAAACGTCGCCGTGTTTGGTTGAGGGGTGGGGGTGACGGGACATCTCGGGGGCAGCGGATAGGCGTCCTTGGAAACGGTGCCATAGGCGGCGCCGTCCGGGGTGATGGGAGGGGTCATGTATCCTTCCACTATTCCCTGGACGGCGTGGCCCTTGTGGGGGGTGCTGTAGATGTTTGCGTGTTTTGCGGCTGATTCAGAAGGCGGACTCGGAGGCCCCCCCGACTGCGCGCGGGCAATGCTGGCCTGGTGGGCCATGAAGGACGCGAGCTTCTTGGCGACGCCCGAGAGGTGCTGAGAGGCGTACTTCCTCGCAAGGGCGACGGAGGGGCTGTGCAGGTGCTGGGACAGGGTCAGGAGGGTAACGTTCTCGACGTGGTCCCACTCTCCGTCGTTGATCTCGGGCTCGCCCAGGATCGCTCTCGCCAGGGCCAGGGAGGAACGGGCCATGATGGACGGCTTGGTGGAGACAAAGTCGCGGTGGTACAGGGCGATCTCGCAGATGTACGAGGCCATGTGCTCAACCTCGACCTTGTCGTGCTCCTCGGCGACGATGAGCTGGGTGAAGAAGTCGACGGTGGGATGGCCGATGGTCCACTCAAGCGTGTTGAGGACGTGCATCTCCATCTGGGTGAACATGCCGGCGTCGTACAGGCCGCAGCACATGTTGTTAAGCTCGTGGATCTGGGGCACGCGGTCCTTCTTGTCTCCATACTTGGCAGCGATGAGCAGGGCGGCGCAACCGACGAGCTGGTAGTGTTGCTTGTAGACGACGCGCTTCGAGCAGTACCGGTCGAGGAGGTTGACGGTGAGGAAGAGAGTCTCGGGCAGGAGGGCGAAGGCGGCATGGGCCTCGATCAGGAAGTCGATGAGGTAGGGTCTCATGTACCATTGAATCTCTCGTTGCATGTCAATGAGGTTGGCATCAGGCATTGTCTCGTCCTGCATGTGATTTGATTGTCAGCATCAACGACCAGCGAGGCAGGCAGTCGCTCCTTCCGTTCTTGCTCACCTCCATGTGCCTCATGTGCTTCATGATATCCTCCAGGTACTCATCGCCGGCTATCCGGGAAAGCTCGCTGGCGATAATCTCCTGCCGTTGCCTCGCAATCATCTTGGCGGCGTCCCGAGAACCCATCCGTGGCCGTTGGGGTTCGTCGTGGCCCTCTGTGAAGTAGGACGGATCCGAGTGCTGCTGCTGTTGTTGTTGGTAGTACGCCATTGTGAGATGTGGTGTGAGAACGAGTCGAACCGAGGATGCGAAGGGGTGTTGGTTTGTTGGATAACCGAGTGGAAGTTCCGTAAGGGTAAAGAGTGACGATTAAGTTCTCCAGGAAGCTTTTTTTGGTGGTCGGAGACGGAAAGACGGAGGAAAAAAAAAAGAAAATCGAGATCGGTGACGCAGAGAAAGAGTGTAATTGGGCGAGACCGAAAAAAAAAAGGATTAGAATATTAGTATTAGAAGGAGCGTGGTGTTGAGAAAAAGGCGAACAGGGTCGGGCAAAAGAGTGACTGTGGCTGGGTGAGAAGCCGAGATGGTGCGAGACCGGGTTCCTCGTACGAGATGACGGAGGGAAAACGGTGGCAGGGAGACTGGTCGTTTAAAGGACAGGTCGACTGGAGGGGCTCTGGATAAGGGGAAATTCGTTAGTTAGCGTCTCGAGGTCTTTCCTTCAGGCCACTGATGAAATGCGATGCAAGCGAGTTAGAGAGATGGGCGGTGCGAGACAAGCAGCTGTCGAACGCTGGCAACGGGGGCTTGGTTCAGGAGCAACCGGTGCGGTAAATACAGCCGAAGTCGATACAAGGGGGAGCCGATTCGTGAATTCAAACAGCGCGGCCCTGATTCGACCACTGGGGCGGCGGGGACGGGGTTGGCACGAGGGGAGATGGAAGAAATAACGGGATTGGCGTTTGCCGGACGAGGGAGCTTGGCAGAAGAGGATCCAAGGGGAGGGAAGGGGGTGAAGAGAGGGAAAGGCTGAATGATGCGGGCCGAGTGTGCAAGTGATGGCGAGGCTTAACGCCACGAAGGGTGAGTGTCCCGCTGTCAAGACAGACAAAATGAGACAATTCCTGAGGGTTGGACGGAGGAAGCAACGAATGAACGGATGCCGCTCGCAATCCTCACCTCGAATAGGGTTTGGTTTGAGGGCGTGGTGAATGTGGGGGGAGGAGAAAGAGTGGCGTGTTTGGTCGTGGACCGCCGTAGATTTTAGGCGGCACGCAAATCTGCCAGGGAGAGAGGGAAAGGAGGTAAAGTTTAGAAGCCGAACAAGGACGTGATGGGAACGGGGGAGGAAGGTTTGTGCTGAAAGAAGGAATATGGATTGGACGGAGCTCGGGGCAGGGGTTGGACATGGAGATGGAGGTTCATCCCGTTGTCGAGGCCCGACGGCGGCGGTGGCCTGGCGGTTTCTGGCGTAGACCGATAGGCTTGCTCACGCACATACTTCATCCGAATTGAATGTCATTGTCAGACAGAACGTACCTTCACAGACGATGCCCTAAAGGGACAGGGCGACGACGGATAATGCTGACGGGATCATGTATGAAGTCTAGTCGCTGGGTTGGCAAGGGTCGAAAAGGCGACGATGAACGGGGTCCAGTTCGTTTCTTCTTTTCCGTCCTCTTTCCTTTTGTCGTGGGGGGACGGGATCCAAGGTAACAAACTCTCGGAATGGAATGCGGGCGGAGCGAGTGGGCGTCGGAACGAAAGGGAGCAAGTCGTCGTCGGGCGAATTGGGTCGTGGGAGTTGCACGGCTGAGTCGAGTTCCTGGTCGTGGGAGCGAGGAATTCTTCAGTGGGTGGTTTGATTGGGTGGGAATTGACGTCGTCGTCGATGCGGGTAAGGCGGACGGTCGCGAGGGAGATGCAAGGAACGTAGAGGGACGTGGACTTGTTCTTTTGGGGTTCGATAAAGAGGCGAGGAAAATACCAATCAAGGTCTTCTTCACTGATCTTTATCTTTTTTTTTTGTGGTGCTTTGCTTGTGCAAATCCAGTCTCGGTTCTTTTGCAAACTCGGGGGTGGGGGGCGTGCAGACTCGAAGAGCGTTGACAATGAAACCGATGGCGAGAGAGTCGGAGATGGAGGGGGGTGTGGGCTGCAAAGGTCGAAGCTAGTCGTCCTTTGTGACTTGAAGGTTTGTGGGTTTGGTGGTGGTGGTGGTGGGAGTTGGAGTCGAGGTAGAGCTTTATTTGGAGGGTCAGTCGTCTCGGCAGAGGGAGGACAGTCGCCAGATCAAGTAAGTCTCTTCGTTCCTTCCTCTTTTTTCCTGGTTCTCTCGGGTGGGAGATTAGAGAATGGAAAGACCCTTTATTCGATCAAACGACGAGCAAAGGAGTCAGGAAGGTTCTTGACTTCGCAGGAGGGGAGGGGAGGGGAGGAGGGAGAGAGGAGGAGAGGGAATGAATGGATTGAGAGGGACGAGGAGGAGGAGAGCGAGGGAAGGGCAGAAGGGGGGGAGGAGAGGGTAGGTAAAGGGTTGGAGACGAGCGGAGGAGACGAAAAAGGATTGGCAGAGAGAGAGAGCAATGGTGTTTTAACCAGGCCGACCAAGTTTAAAAGTCCAGGTTCCCCGTCAGACCGGTCAAAGTCACTTTTGTGGTCGGTGTGCGGTCGGAAAGGCGGGAAGGGTGGGAAAAGGTACATGCGAGTGAGTTGAGAGAGAGAGAGAGACAGAGAGAGGAGAGAGACACACAGAGAGAGAGAGAGAGATGAGGAGAGCGTGGGGAGTGGGAGTGAGAGTAAGAGTGAGAGTGAGTGGGAGTGAGTGAGAGTGTACCTCCGGGAGTACCTACGCCTAGGTACCTACCTAGTAAGAGTGTGAGTGGCCCCAGTATGAGGGACCCAGCCGCTCTCATGCAGCAAAGACGCACACCACACACCACACCACGCTACCTACTTGGGTACGTCAGGTATCTAACTGTGCTCGACTCTGGTACCTCCCTTGAATGCTCGGCAGAAGCAACTAGAGGATGTATGTATCTACGTTTAGATGCATTGATTGTTCATTGTTATTTTTCTTTCTCTCTTCCTCGTTACTTGCTGGAGTTGTAGATAGGAGAGAGGACAGGAGGAGCACCCTGGTCCGATCCAGCAGCAGATGTGAGAGAGAGAGAGAGAGAGATGGGAGGGGATGGAATGGGACGAAGGAGCAGGGGCGGAGAGAGAAATACATAGTACGGATACGGATACTATGTAGTAGTAGAGACAGGGCGATGGTTCAAAGCTGGTAGCTGGTAAGGAAGTGAACTGGGGAGGGGTGAGGGTGAGGGTGAGGGTGAGGGTGCCAATGCAAAGCCCGCCCAGTGCAAGTGCAGGTGCAGGTGCAAACAAGCAAGCAAGCAAGCAATTGCATAGTGCAATATTCGTTGACCGTACATAACGTGCTCTGTGTGTACACTACGTACGGATAAGGAGCACGGTGTAATGACAATGTACGGAGTGCTGGTGCTGATGCTGGTGCTGGTGCAGGTGGATGGAGACGTGTAATTCCCGTACCAAGGCGATATGATATCGACAGGGAACAAGCTCGAGCAGCAGCCTGGTCAGGGAGGGTATTAGGACACTCCGTAGCAGTACTCGGTACGGATACACTAAAAAAATACCTGTGAGAAAAAGGGGGATGGGGGGGGGGGGATGTACCTGTCGCGCGGGCCTTGTACTGCGAGGTACATGCGCGTCTAAAAAGATACGTATCTCTTGCTTGTGCTACACTACCTACCTATCCTATCCTGTCCTGTCCTGTCCTGTCCTATCCTGCCCCGGCAGGTGGTGGTCGTGACCTACTGCGGCCTGTGTCCGCCGCGTGCGCGCGCGCTGAGGGAACGCGTTGCTGGTGCGCTGATGCGCTGATGCTGTGGTCTTTTTACCGGCTTTTACTGGCCAGTGAGAGAGATGTCTTTCCCTGATGGCTGTGGCGCACCGCTGCCGGGCTGGCTTCCAACGGGCATGGATGGCCAAGAAGGCGACTACTACTACTATGTAGGTATGCTAGGTATGCTATGCCTTGCAGACAGGATAAGCAGGCTGGCTGGAGTACCCGCCATCATAGGTATTTCCACCTTGTAGGTACTCCGTACCCCGTACAGAGTAGTTACTTGGGCTGCAGTGACTGACGATGGATGGGATGGACGGGTAATGATGATGAATGTATGGATGCCCGCCTACAATGGCCACCGCCTGCCTGCCTGACTGGCTACCCGCTTCTCGAGCCCTCTCTCTGCCTGTCTGTCTGTCTGTCTCCGTCTGACTGTCTGATTGTCGGCCTCGCTGCGATGATGCCCGCCTTGTCCTGCTGCGACCCGTCCGTCTCGTCTGGTATGCCTGTCTTCGGAGCTGTTGTTGTTGCTGCTGCTGCTGCTGCTGCTGCTGCTGCTGCTACTGCTACAGCCGCTGCGCTCAGCAAGCCGACCGTCGATTGGGTGCGTTGGAGAGGTACAGCAGTGTGGTCAGACAGACACAGGTGCTGTGTGTGAGAGTGCTGCCACTGACTGGCCTACAACGATACAATGTCCGGTTTCGTGCAGTCATGCCCGCCGTTTCCCCCCTTTTGTTCTGCGCGTTGCTAGCCTCGGCGCCCGACGGCCACGCACTATACCTCGCTCCGCCGAGTCGTCTCTCTGTCTCTTTCTCTCTCTCCCTTTATGTGTCTCGGAAAGATGGTGCGTTTCCACGATGGAACCGTCACCTCACTACGGCCCGGGACAGCGTTGGGGGGGGGGGGGGGGGGGGGGAGTGGATTCGGGGACTTCAGCCCCAACGTCTCCCAAGAAAGAAGGTTGGCCAACAAGAGACGGGCTCGCTCGTTCGCTCGCACTCTTTGTCGTCAGCCTGTAGCCCGCAACAGTAGCGTAGGCGGGCTTGGGGCCGTTCCGTGGAACAGGGGGCGGGGACGAGACGGCTCAAAGTGTCGTCTATTATTCGCAAGGGGCCCCTCCTCCTCATCCTCGCGAACTGGTTGGTCGTCAGACACCGGCGAGGACGAAGAGAAGGGGGCAGGATGGTAGTCGCGCCGGCGGGTGCTGATTGGTGCGTGTCGACGTTGTGGAGGATAATGGCTGAGCCGGTTCATGCGCACAGAAAGGATAAATCTGTAATCAACGGAAGCGAGGCGATTTGAACCCCTGCTGTTTGTCATCGCTTGTACATCGTACATACATAAGCCATACAGTGTCATGGTGCATGCGCGTGGGACTGGCGGGGGAGAGTATCCG